GTAAAACCAAAGGAGGGTTAATGACTGGCTTAGGAAAACGGACGTGACTAATGCCTGATCCGCAGGTGAGGGCATTATCTGTTTTCAGTCTCCTGAGCTAGTCTTAAACATTATTGTAAGACCAGCCACAACATGTTTATTCCAATTCATAAATACCTTTTTGTTCTAGAATCTTACTTTAATTTTCCCGAACTCCCCTGAATATTTTTTAGTATATTCCTTGTGCAAGTTGCCCCAAAGAATCTCTTTATATGGACTTGCCGCGCTTAGTGAGCCGCGTGCACACAGACTCTCGACCAACCAGAATCGATTAAACTGTCTCGTATCCAGCACGTGATTTACGCAGCGGATATTATCACTTCTCAGCGGGCATTATCAAATGTTAATACACGGTCAAGTGGCACGTTGGATGGGGAGACTGTCTGAGGTACTTATGAATAATGTTTGTAGACATTGAGAGTGTTAAAAGCAGTGTATATGTGCAAGTATACTGTGAAGCAAAGTTCTTCTGTAATATGAAAGGTTGTAATCTTGATTTTGTTTGCATTTTTGCAGAGTGACGATGCAGAAATTGATGTCCACCCTTCCTCTATACTTCCAGATCAGAAAGATATCCAGACATTGAAGCAGCGTATGGCAGTAATTGTCCAGCGAATTCTGGTCCAACACATGAGTGCATTGGATGATGTGTGTGTAGAGGCCCACATCCCTCATCACTTCACAGCAGAGATGTCTGAAAAGTCATCGCTTGTGAATCTAGGGTTAATTGACTCGGACCCTAGGCCAATGTCTGGCGGTCGAAGCATAATGCAGCATCTACAAGAGAAACACTGTCCAAAACAAGAAGGGAAGCCATTCACTCTGCCCTGTAACAGCTGTGAATATGAAGTTAAGCGTATGATTCGCCACAGAGAGATTCTGTCAAAGGAAGCCTCGCCGAGAAAAAGGCTTGAAGGGCTCTTACCAACTCCTCAAGAATTTGACAAACAGACGCTCCTACTACAGGTGAAGATGTATGCACAAAGCTGTGGTTTGTGTTGATTGGTAGTATGGGAACTGGGTACTCTACTGAAGTAAATCATGGCTTCCTGGATTCCATGGAAATAGGCTATCCCCAAGGTTTTAAAGAAAAATGAATTTGTAAAACTGTTACCAAGTTGCTAATTCTTTCTTACCCAAGTTGCTTAGAGGGGATGGGCCATGCTGGGAAGATCTCTTGTAAAACTTGCATCAGCACATAAAACAAACATACACATCTAAATAATTTCAAAAATGCGTGGAAATGTGTTAAAAATTATAGTTTTCACGACCCTATTTCACTCCCTTCTGGGAGCAAAAGCTAAACAACGGCCGTCGGGTACTGAAAGTTTTCTGAAGAAATTCCCAAAAATCGCAACATCATAGGACAGAGAGTGCTTTATCTGGCGACTATTTACTGTTACGTAACGACATGTAGGCATGTATATGTACGTTATGTAGAAGCGTTAGCGTGTGCAATCATGTCAGACTCAAATGCTGATAATTCCAGCATTAATGTTTTTTGCAATCACAGCGATCAGTTGTCATGTTCGTCTTATTCATTTGACCAAGAAAGCAACATTGAAGAGCTGATGAGGTCCAATAAATATTGCCTTGTAAGTTTGAACCAGAAGACACTCGGGAAGAGATTTTGCAACTGGAGGCTGTTGGCCACGGGCATGGCGGCAACCCGGAGGGTCGACAATGAAACACGTGACTGGTCATAATTTTTTACTGCACCATTTAAAAAAATGTGTCTTTCTGAAAAGATGTAATTGTCCTACCATTGGCTATTTGATAGCTATAGTACAAGTAGTCTTTTGTCCATGGCCTACTTCGTCAAAGTTGATATTCCATTCCAACATTTTTTTTTTACCCTGAGTCACTTGCACTGCGAGTCACTTGCTTGGCATCGATGTGTCGCGTGCATGACGACTGTGCGGCATTATTTGCACTGGAAAATAGTCCAGTGCAATATAGTCCAATTTTACCTCGTAAGCGTAGTACATGTATGGATGTACATGTACATGTCAGTACTGGTATGTGTACATAAACATACACATGTATTTTGAGTCCTCGTAAATATCTGATAGTTTGTCATCCACAAATCTATTAAGCCACAAACACTGGTGTAAAAAGTGGCTTGGGAATCTACAAAACTGTTCTCCGGGGAATTGTTTTGACTGCGACAACAGCCACCGACACCAACACAGTTTATAGGCATTCTTTCGAAATTCACAATTCACTATAGAAATTATTACATGTGTACGATGGGATGCAAAACAAAATGAACGTGACGCATCAATTTAGTTGTCCAATAGCTAAGCCCTGTGTTAAGAGAAGGGCACACGAAACAAGACCAAATGTGGTTGATTTGAAATGTACGAGTACACGCTAGAGCAGAGAATTTTATTCTTGCGCAAACTGATCAACTTTCTTGCCGGAGCTATGGATTTTTTTCTGGAAAGTCGAGTCCGTCCAGTGACGTCACATTTTTGCCAAGATTTGTCTGCTGCCCTCATCAACTGATTTCGATAACTTTTTGCAAAGAGCCCAGGCGGAGACTGAAACAAGCACACAGAAAACACCAATTTTGTTGATTTTATGACATAAAAGAGGGGTTAATCCAACTTATTGTATATAAAATGGTTGAAAACTACCATATAACATAAATTTAATACTGCATGGCCCATCCCCTTTAAGTTTTGTTTGTTGGTTGCATGTACCTGGCATCATGATTTGAAAACGAAACCTGATGTCAATATTCAATAGACATGTACATGTATGTGCTTCAGGAATATTCTTGTCAACACGATATCTTGAGTAATACTTTGCCTCTGAGCTTCGAATATGGCTTGTGCTTATAATAATCCTATTATTATAATATATAAGCCTATTGCATATAAGCCCAAAAGGTGAAGGTCACAGTAGATAAAACAAAGACAAACGTTGTTTGTTATCCCAAACTTACAATTGTTGGTTTTAGGCTTGGCCTTGATGAGGGGGCATTTGTGTTTATTAGTTCATTCATGTTTCACATTTAAAACATTTCCTTCCCTTTTTACAATACATAGGACACAGTGAATGATCTCTTTCACAAGAATAGCATCAACAGCAAAGGTACACTTTTTCAGCTGAAGGAATTCTTCCAATATAAGTCAGTGTCATCTAAAGTCAGGGAGGACTTTAATGGCGTGTGGGACTTGATGGAGGTGAGATGTAATGATCTCAGAACATTAGTCAAAATTGTCAAATATATAATTATGACGCATTGTTGGTGTCCAGTTCTGTGTGTCGTGAAAATTTGATGACTTGTATTATGCTTCAGATTATCACCAACCTGTTCTGTGAATTGCATTGTCACAGTTTGCAACCCACGCTTATGTTGTTCTGCTGGCAATGAAACTGACACATATGAATGGCTTAGATGACAAACCTGAAGGATTTCCTGACTCGGCTTCAGAGGCTATACAGAAACGGTGGCTGAGGCAATTTTCTCAACGTATAGTTGACAACGTCTGGGCTTGGGTCTCAAGAGAGGAAATGTCTGCAGTCTTGACAGGTGCAACAACTGATTTGAGTAATGATGAGAATCCTGCTGACATCTACAGTTTCTGTTCTTGTCGTAAAGGTAGGTAGATAGTTAATGCTATAGGTGTATTAGTAATCTTTTCTTGAAACTAATGTACCCAGGCAAGTGATTTAGGATTTTGAATGGAGGTTAGCCAAGGCAGGAAAAGATGAAATATACCATTGAGCACACTGATTTTCTGGTGGGCATAGTCAGTGTTACTGGTAGAACACTAAGCACTCCCCTGGCAACAACTTCTACCCTCTTGGTTGCATTCCAGTTTTTTAACTGTTTCCTATTCATTCGAGCACATTGCCTTGCAAACCACTCCAGTGGAACAGTCAGATGAAATGATCTGTTGGAGGAAGCCCATTTGCAGATACATTTACGAGTCGTAATGATTTTCAACCCAGCTTGTACTAAAATGGTTTCCAGTGAACTTGGTTTAATTTAATTTGGTCCCAGGTCAATTCGGTCCCAGTTCAACTTGGTCCTAAGTGAACTTGGTCCTAGGTCAACTCTGTCCCAGGTCTACCCATTCCTGTGTCAACCTGGTCCCAGGTCAACTCAGTTACAGGTCGACTTGGTGCCAAGTCTGTTTAGTCCCAGGTCAACTCGTAGATCAGCTCATTCCTGGGTCAACTCGGTCTCTGGTCAACTCAGTCTAATTTCAACTTGGTCCCAGGTCAATTCAATCCCAGGTCAAGTTGGTCCCCGGTCAAATTTGTTTGTGTTGCATGCCATGATGTTGATGAGCATGTGGTGTTGCTTACAGTTTTCAACATGCATCCCACGCAGATTTTTCAGGAAAGTGTTTATTAGATGTAAGAGAAATGAAAGGACCAGTTAGAATAAAAATGTGTTGAAAATGGAAACACACATAAATGTACATGTAGGGGCCTATCTAAATCCAGCATCTGCAGGGTATTCAGAAAAAAAGAAACCCATCTTTAATCTGCAATATCGGAAATCTATGCAATATTGCAGTATTTCAGAAAAAAGGTATGTACTGGTATTTAGGGAAAGGCTAGACTGTCTTCTGTCCAACTGTACTAGGGTCATGCGCATGACCCTAATTATCCAGAAATAAAAGGACAAAGGAACAATCTTGCCGTTCACAAGAGTGAGAACAAATAAACAAGGTGATCGAGGAATATGCTGTCACTGTCATATATGACTGAGCAAACAAAAATTAGGTAAGGTGGTAAATGAGGTTGTTAAGGCCCTTTTTAGACAAAAGAATTCACAAAAGTACCCAACAAGGTAGTCTTACTGCCTGCAACCCACACAGATTACCAATACCTATGCATCATTTCCTGGTCCATTATTTTCACTGACTAAATTCTCGATATCCAAATGTGCGTCCCCACTCTCCCCCGTGAAGGCGTCGGCCATGTTCGTCCTCTTTTTCTTAACGCCATTACGTTACGGAATGTGTTTTACCAGCCCAAAATTTTGGGAATTTTTTTCTTAGCTAACGCGTGTTTCTGTGTTATTCCTCTATCACCTTGTTTGTTTATTTGTTCTGAATCATGTGAATGGCAAGATTGTTCCTTTGTAATTTTATATATGGATTTTTTACCATTTTCTTTTCAGTCTTACGTAGGTGGCAGACTGACCTTGTATTGACCTGTTTTCAGAGTTCGCCAGGTGGCGCTATTGCTTTTGGATAAATATATTACCGTTGCTTCAGAATAAATATTGAGAACGTGTGTTTATTTATTCTGCTTGCTTGTTTAATTTCTGTGATTCGCCCCAGTTGTGGCATTCTGGTGTACAATTTGATTAGTTTTCAAAAGCAGTTGCTTCATTATTCTATGGATATTTGCTTTTTGCTTTTTTCATTTCGCCGGGTATTTCGGCATTTCTGGTTTCTTGATATGTCTCATATTTGGTTTTCGATTTTTCATATTTGCTCGATATTTCGGCGTCTCTGGTTTTTCCGATTTCCCTCTGTGTATTCTGTGTATTCTGTGTATTGGATTATCGAGAGCCTGAGGGAAGTTGGAGTTAGTCTTCACCCCGCTTCAAGTTATTTGGCTGCTTGCGGGCAAGGGATTCCTAAATTAGTAAGGATAGTGGTGCTTGGTTTCGGTCCTTGCTAAGCTAGGGAATAGCACAGTGTGTGTTTAACTATTCCCTCCCGTTGGCCGGTCCAGGGTACGGCCGTGCAATACCGTAATTTGCTCCAGTACTTTACTGTCGAGCACATGAGTTCGCTCTTCAAGCATAAAGTGATATTCGTGAACTCGTAGCGGTGGTACTGGTGAGTGAGTTTCACCCTATGGGCCTCTTTGAGCATGGAGCAACGTGTCTGGCTCGCCTCCGCTCCTTCACGTTCGGAGCACGTGCGAGTACGCCCCTTACGCAGGCAGCTTGGGGCGTGACTCGGCACCCTGCAGTCGGCTCGGCTTGCTGGTATAGGTTCGCCGTTACCTGCAAGGGTTTTCCGGTGAGCATGTTTCACGCTCCCCTACAGTCGGAGCGCGTTCGAGTCGTCCCTTATGTTGACGAATAGGGACAGGTCCCGGCGCATTACAGTAGTCATCTGCCACGTGAAAGAATGCTGTTTGGCCACTACTCGTGGTCTAGTGCAGCGCTGTACCTTGCACGTGGTCGCTGCCAGGTTTTTAATGCTTGCGCTTACCGCAGAACTTGTCCTATGATGTTGGTTGGTTTTTGGCAATGGGTTCTCTCCCAACCACTGTAACTAAAAAGACGGCGGCTCTGGCCCTTTCCTGTTCTGATTGAGATCTGTTAGCATCCGGGACCAGGCCCCTCTCCGGCCCGTTCTTTACGCAGGGGCCCCGCACCGTTGGGCCTTCTCCGTCATTTGGGCTTTCGGCCTCCCCCATTGCAGCCAGGTCTAAACACTTGCAGTAACTGGAGATTTTGAACTCCTTGCAGTTGGGTTTGACTGGGCGTGGCCTGCCCAACTGTGTTGTTGGTAAATGTTTCCTTACACATTGTGGTTGCTTGTTTTCTGGCAACGACTTCTCACCCATCCACTATGATAAAACAACCCCCCCCAAAAAAAGCGGCTCAGGTCTATCTTGCTTGTGTGCCAGCGTGCTTTCTGGCTGGCTCGCTTCCATTTATTTATTTATTCATTCCATTTCTTTACCCAGGGTATGCCCAGTTGGTTTCCATTGGGCCCTATGGTCATTACAAATAAATAAAATAGTTAAAAACTCACGATGAAAAGTAAAATGGACAAATACGACGAACATTAATATTTACAAATACACTACCACTAAAGTATCATACACATGTGAACATTAAAATAATCAAAGAATTAATTAAATACTGATCACGGGATGGGCAAAAACCCCGCTAAAAACCCTATGGGAAAAAAAGGACACAGGGAAATTCCCAATCCGGTTCCAATTAAAATTTGCAACCAAGATAACATCTCCGTAGATCAGCATGTTGGACTACACGCCACTAGTCCGTAGTTCCGATATACTTCTGAGTTTCTCTGGCAAATTGTTCCATATTTTTGCACCTTTCACCGCAGAACGGAGCATAGCATTCTTTTTTGGCTAAAGGGATTTTAAGTGCTTTGTTAACTGAGTATCTTGTTTCGCGAATTTATGTGAATGGCATACAGATTTGTCAGATAACATAGGAGACAATTTGTATAGACATTTAAAAACAAGAACAGTCTTGTTAGATGTAACTCTGTCGGAAAATGGTACCCAGTTCAGTGTAGCACACATATTTGCTGAGGGGGTGAAAGAGGTGCATTTGAGGATTGTCCGTGCAGATAGACATTTGTTAAGAATGGTATCGTGGGATATGTATCTTCCTCCCCATACCGTGGAACCGTATTCTAACGTTGGCGTAACTAAGCCAATGACAAGTGTGTGCAGGCTACTTTGTTCAACAAAGTTCCGGTTTCTGTTTAACATACCTAATTTAGATGAGACTGTTTTTCTTACGTAATCAATGTGTGAGCCCCAAATTAGTGTTTTGTCAATAATAACTCCTAAGCGTTTGCAAGATTTTTCTTTGACAATTAGGCTATCAGCAATGTAGAGGTTCAATTCTGTATTGGCGGTTTTCTGCCTTGTGCCAATCAGCATGCATTGGGTTTTGTTTATATTTAGTTCAAGTTTGTTTCTTGAGCACCAATGTAGAATTCTGTCAAGAGCTACATTTATTTACTGGTAGTTCAAGTTTGTTTGTTGAGCACCAGTGTAGAATTCTGTCAAGAGCTACATTCAGATTCCTTTCTATTTCATTAATATTGGAAGAGCTGCACGTTAGAGTGGAGTCATCTGCATACATATACAAGTTACAATTTGATGGGATACAGGATGGCAGATCACTTGTGTAAATAATGAATAAAAGCGGTCCTAATATCGAACCCTGTGGGACACCAATGGCTAGAGGCAGAACCTCTGATATCTTACCCTCAATATTTACCGACTGACGAGGATCACTTAGGTATGATTTAAACCAACCGATTAGTGAAGTAGACATGTTAAGCCTTTTTAATTTTTCCAGAAGAATTTCATGGTCAACACAATCAAATGCTTTACTAAGATCTATGAACACACTACCTGTAACTTCTCCATGCTCCATAGCCTGGAAACACCTATTTGTCAAATCGTGTAGGGTGGTTTCAGTTGAGTGATAGGGTCTAAATCCTGACTGGCAACTAGGAATAAGGTTATTTTCTTCCAGGTAAGTGTATACTGACAAGTGCACAAACCTTTCCAAAATTTTAGAGACAGTTGGCAGTATAGAGATAGGACGATAATTGCTTGTACTACATTTGTCTTCTCCCTTGTGAATTGGTGTCACCAGAGCATGTCACCAGTCTTTGGGATATCTCCCACATGTGATGGAGAGGTTAAAGATACGAGTTAGACATTTTTATTATTTTAACACTTATCCTATCTGGACCCGTTGATTTGCTTTTGTTCTCTTTGAATCCCAATGTATATGTGAACCTGTGCGTTTGGCAATTTTTTTGCAAATGATCACGTTGCCTCATAAGTTGAAGAATTTCCCCATCAAGTCAGTGTAAGGAGGCACCTTGAGTACGTTAAGTT